CAGTAATGCCCCATTGCCAGCTGAGCAATACACCAGCTAGGGGTTAGTTGTTTACTGAAGGCTGAGCTATCTGAAGTCGAGTGATACGGGAGGATAACGAAGTTTATCGTATTCATAATGCAGTTTTTCTTTCCAGGTTTTCACCGTTTTGGGTGCTGCATATGGCACAGCAAAAGCTGCTGTTGGCATCTGTACAATGGGAATAATGCGACCTGAGCTGATAATGAAATCTATAATTCCAGTCATTATGGCTGGTATCATCGGTATTTATGGGCTCGTTGTGGCAATTGTCTTGAGAGGCAAAGTAAATTCTGCCAGTGAGGGATACAACCTCTCGCATTCTTTCTCCCACTTCGCTGCTGGCCTCACTTGTGGTTTATGTGGCCTGGGAGCAGGGTATGCCATCGGAATCGTTGGAGATGCCGGAGTACGAGGCTCTGCTCAACAGCCTCGTCTATACGTCGGGATGGTTCTCATACTGATCTTTTCTGAGGCAAGTTTTCATCAAAACGGATTTTTACTGAACCATGTGCCACGAACTTATTCAGGTGCTTGGTCTATACGGAATGATCGTCGCTCTGATCATCGGATCTTAACTGTATGAACAGTGGACAGAGATTTTGCTTCCTGTACCCTTTGGAAACGTGCATTGTCGATTATTTCATCGAGCGTGTGCATTTATTTATTGTAAATAACCCGTATACAGGTAATTTTGCCATCAAGTGCGAGCCCACCCTATGAATTCTCGTTGACAGCCTTAGTGGGGAGAACCAGCTCCTCCAGCCACTGTCCTTTTGTTTCAATGAATATTTTCGATTGATTGGAATGAATAAATGGTTTAGCAATGTTTGGTTAATTTTTCTTCTCCCTCGCATTAATTCGGGTCAGTTGCAGGGTCCGCTGAATACTGTCCACAGAACTCTGGCGAGGTCACCCGACCTGTCAACCTTGGTCTGACGCTGTTCCGACGCCATGTTTGGGATTTTTGCTGGTCATGGTTTTGCCTCTGCAGGTATCGGACTTGTGCACGGAGCATAACCGACACTCTTACCCACTTGGTCATCCTTGCCCTCTTAGCATATGAACTTAGGTTGTCTTGAATTAACAGTTTTTTAGGATGCTCTAATCTTGTGGTGATCGAAATTTTGTTTATTTGATGTCGCTCTGATAATCCTAGTGTTATTACTGACTAT